ATTTAGGAAGGGAAGAGGGGGCAGCTTCATCCCCTTACACTGCATTTGCCCTCCCTCCCTCCTCCCTGGACACCCAGTGATACTTGGTTCAATTCCACAAACACTGGGTGAGCACCCCGAGGTGCCTGGGAGCTGCTGATGGGGGCCACGGAGATGACTGGGGATCTGGGCTTCCGATTGCGAAGGGCAGACAGGCCCCACAGGTAACTGTGCACACTTCCCAAACTGCGAAGGGCTCACGATGGGCTGTCAAAGCTTCACAAGGGAGGTGATGTCTGAGCAGACCTGGCAGCACCGCACAGGCTCCGGCATCAGAAAGACATGAGTTTAAATAAATCTTTGGCCCCACTGGCTGGTCTTGGGCAAATTATGTCACCTCTCTGAGCTTCAGTTTCCCCAACTGTAAAATGACGGTCACTGCACCTACCTCATAGGGTTGTGGCGGGCATTCAATGAGACAACCCACGTAAAAGACTGGGAGGAGGGGCGGGAGGGGGAGGAAGATGAGAACAATGGTGATCATTTCAACCTTCTCCCCACTCTTATATTTGGATTTTCCTGCTGGTTGGAGTCTGAACTCCTCAATTCAGCCTTTTATTAGCCACCCTTTGACCTGCCTCTGGGTACCAGAGGAACTCACAATGAGTTTGACATTGAGCAGTCCCCACCAACATGTGTACAGACTTGACCATTTACAAAGTGCTCTGCCTAACACCATCTCACGGAAGCCTCACGATCGCTGTGTGAGGTCGGGAGGGAGGAAATGCTCAGTATCTTCACTTTCTAGGTGAGCAAACTGGAGCTCAGAGAGGGCAAGGGACATCCCTCAGGTCACACAGCTAAAGTGGTAGCACTGAGACAGCACCCAGATCTTCTCTCTGCCTTGTGGCCCATTTTTACTGCACCTCTAAGAGGGGAGACAGAGGAGTCTATGGCTTACGGGGAACAAGCTTTTCTATAAGACCATGGTCCTGGCAGAGGAACGTGTGGCCCGACTTGTCAGCTAAGATCGAGAGTCCCTGCCCTTCCTTACCAGGGTGAAACCAGGCACTCTCGGCTGAACTGAGCCACCAGTGGTCTGTGGCCCTGGCCCTGCCAAAAGCTCTGCTCAGCCTGGGCTGGGGGAGAGTGAGGGGTCCGCAAGGCACGGCTTCAGGTTTCACCCTGATAACTCGGTGGGCTGCACAGCTGGGGCACAGCTGAGACAAGAGCAGCAGGGCAAGGCTGTAGGGGGCGTGTTGGGGAGTGAGGAGCCTGTGTCGTGCCAACACCACAGAGACCTGCTTCACTTGGGCTCCCTCACCTGGCAGGACAGATCCCACCCAGAAAAGGAGGCTGCAAAAGCAGACTGAGTTGTTGTCCAGCAAATGCTCATCAGATCGGGTACTTGCAATGCTCTTGGCTCCCACCCCTCTAAAACCTGGTAAGAAGAGTCTTGTGGGCCCCTTCTCCAAGGCCTGAGCACCCACAGTGAGCCAGGCCCAACACTGCGGGCCTCACCTGAGCTATCCCAGTCGGTCCTCTCCACACCCTCAGGTGGTTAGTCCTCCTTAGAGATGAGCAAGCGGAGGCTCAGAGGGTTATGACGCTCATCCACCATCTCACAGCGAGAGAGTAGCCCAGGCTCATCTATCCAAGGCTCATCTATCCAAAGCTCAAGTCCCCTCCATTCTCTGGGCTGCTGGGAGAGTCAGACTGTGATGGTTAACTTTATGTGTCAACCCAACTGGGCCAGAGGTGCTCAGGCATTTGGCCAAACATTACTCTGGGTGTGTCTGTGACGATGTTTCTGGATGAGACTAACATTTGAATCAGTTGGGCCGGCCCTGTGCTTGGTGGTTAAGTGCGCACGCTCCACTACTGGCGGCCCGGGTTCGGATCCCGGGCACACACCCATGCACCACTTCTCCGGCCATGCTGAGGCCACGTCCCACATACAGCAACTAGAAGGATGTGCCACTATGACATACAGCTATCTACTGGGGCTTTGGGGGAACAAAAGGAGGAGGATTGGCAATAGATGTTAGCTCAGAGCTGGTCTTCCTCAGCAAAAAGAGGAGAATTAGCATGGATGTTAGCTCAGGGCTGATCTTCCTCACCAAAAAAAAAAAATAAATAAATAAATAAAATTTGAATCAGTTGACTGAGTAAAGCAGCTTGCCCTCCTGAATGTGGGTGAATGTAGGTGGGCCTCATCTAATCAACTGAAGACCCAAATAGAACAAAAAGGCTGAGTAAGAGGGAACTCCTCCTGCCGGACTGTTGAGCTGGAACGTGAGTCTTTTCCAGCCTTCAGACTCAGACTGAAACATCAACTCTTCTTGGGTCTCGAGCCTGCTGGCTTTCAGACTGGAACTTACCCCATTGGCTCTGCTGGTTCTCAGGCCTTCGGACTTAGACTGGATCTATACATCAGCTCTCCTGGGTGTCCAGCCCGCTGACCACAGATTTTGGGGACTTAGCCTCCATAATCAAGTGAGCCAATTCCTTATAATAAATGTATCTATCTATCTACCTATCAATCTGCATCCTATTGGTTCTGTTTCTCTGAAGAACCCTGACTAATCCAAAGACCAAACCCTAGGCTTCCAGGCACAAGTTGGCTGCATATTTGGGTGTGGAATGCCCCCGGTGCCAGAGGCCAGAAGTCTGAATATCTAGAACAATCATGTGATTTGGTCCAAAAGTCCCCTTGGTTCCCAAGGCCACAACAGGAAGCCTGGCAGGGAGGGACCTGCCTGGCCAAATCAACAGAGCTAAGAAGCAGAAGCCTTGACATATTTTTTTTTTATAACCGAAACACTCCCAAGTACTCAGGAAGAGGTGTGGCAACTCTCTCCAGCGCCCTAGTGTAAACAGCAATACTTGTGGAGTCCACTAGATGGGGCCAGTGACACGGCAGAAAGGGCAGAAATGCAAGTCCAGCTGGGAAGGTGGGCAGACAAGGGATGCATCAGGCTGGAGTCTCCCTGTCTTCACGAGGCTCCCCAAGTTGGATAAATGCTCCCCACCCCTAACTTGCATGACATCTAGCCAATGGTGTAAAAATCAGTCCTGGGGTTCCCAAACACTTTGGTCAGTTGTCACTGTAGCATCTCTGGATTTCAAAGTCCTTCAACCAAGTTATTCCCTCATGAGCCACCAAGCAAGATGGGTAGCCACAAAATGAAGTCAGTCCCTGCCCTGAAGCCTCAGAGCTCCAGGCGGGGGCACCCCCTCGTCATGCCTGCGACCTGTTTCACCAGAGAAAGCAGTGGACAGTACCTTTTATGAGGGGATCTAAAAATCGATGGACAAGTACTTCAGCAAGGTGGTCATGCGACCAAGGAAGGAAACAGGACAGGGAGCAAGGAGGAAGGCAGAGAGGGGAGAAAGAAATGGCAAAGACACTTTTCTCTTCAGCAAGCGGCTGTATTTGGCCACACGTTCTCAATGCTCAGCCAGCATCCTGGCCCCGTGTCGGGTCCTACAGTGAATCTTCCTGCACCTGCTCACAGTGGGGTCATAGCTGAGTCCCCCAGGGGGTCGCTGAGCCCTGTTGTGGCCAGAGACCTAAAGGCAGAAATGGCAAGCAAGTGTTTTTTTCTTGCTTCCTCTGGTTGGCCTCAGTTCAGGTCCCAGAATACCCTCTCCTCCATCAGTAGCAAAAATCCTGCCCTGCATGTCCAAGATGGCTGTCTCTCATAGCCACCCTTTCTTAGGATGTCAGGGCAACACCCCAGGAGGCTGGCTGGGGGGTCTGAGCCTTACCAACACCCTCGCCCAGCCCCTCCACCTCCCACCTGCCCCCCACCATCCCTTCCCAAACTTGCACTGCCTGGCAGCCACCAGGCTCTGCCTTGGCCTCTGTCGCCATGGCAACAATGTGGCTTCCCCCAAGTGGGAAGCCCGTTGCCAAGGCCCTTGTTGCCAAAGGCTATAACAGCCACCCTGGTGTGTGAAGGGGGGTGAGAGCTCTGTGGAGGGGGTGAGGGGTGGCGAAGGAGGGTAGCAGGGAAGGAAGTGGGGGTTCTCAAGAAACAGCAGAGTCCAGGCAGCCCCCCAGCTGGAGTGGGGGTGCTGGGCCCTGCAAGCAAGGAACAGTAGTATCTCACAGCATCTTAGCGACTGCTCCTCGGGGTATCAGAGGGAAGAAAGGGGACCCCCATAAAACATACCTGGACAAGCCCTCGACCAAGCAGGACCAGTCAACTCCAAGCCCCCCAAAACAGAGAAACAGCTTTGATTCTCCCCAACTCCAGAAAAACAGCCCCCAGGAAACCCTCTGTCTTACCAGCTCATGTGTCTCAGACACACGCGCACAAGCTGGGCCCAGGCAGAGCCAGCCCTTGTGGCCAGGAACAGCATGAATTACAAGGATTGCAAACCTCCACACATTTCTATCCCCCTGGCCTGTCGCAGAGCACATACTGAATTTTCCTTGTAAGATGCTTCTCTTTGGAGCAGAGCCCCTACCAGTAGACAAGAGGAGAGGTGGACATCATTAGGGCTCAGAGTCAACAGAGGAGGCTGGACGGGGCCCCTGGTCTTCAGTGAACACTACAGAAGCAGCTCATTCTGCTCCACAGTGAGCACCAAGGGCAGCCTTGGTTTGCTGAGCCAGCATCTGTACGTTTACAGCCCACAGGTCACATCTGCAGCCACTGTCCAGCCTGGGCCCAGAGAGAAGAGCCTGTTCCCTCCCCCAGGCCCCACCCTGCTAGAGAGGGGCTAAAAGAGGAGGTGAGGGTGTCCAGGAGGCAGGGGGAGCAGATGGCTGGTAGAGGAGGCAGAGACAGGTGCAGGGGAGGCAGAGAGAGCAGCAGGTGGGGGGTGCCGGGAGCCTAGTCTGAGAGGGGCCCAGGACTGGGATCAGATGACAAGGGCACTAAGAACAGCCAGGTCCAAATTTCCCCCAGCAGCGTCCCAAGCAGACCCTGGCCCAAGACATCCATGTCTACCTACAGCCCTCCCCAAGAGCCCCCCTTCCCAAACCTAGAAAGAAAAGCAGGTGTACCTACCCCAGGTGCCAGCCCCTCGGGTGGGGTGGGGGAGATGCTGTCCCCGCCGCCCTGGCTACGGGCGCTGAGCTGGGGCGACATGGTGGGTGACTCGTCGATGTACGGCATGGTCTCCGAGCCCTCCGGGGGCCCCTTCTGCTCCTCATTCCCCTCTCCGTCGTAGTCGTCCGCCCCGTAGCTGAAGTCTGAGACAAGGAACAAGAAAGGCCACTGAGAGTCCTCCACGAGGGCCGCCAGGGAGCGGTACCGCGGTGGGCGCCGGCGGCGGCCCCCGGCTGCCATGCCCCTGGCCGCACCATCCACGGCCCGGCCCAGGCAGGGCTGCACGGGGCCCGGGCCACGCGAGGGGCCGGGGAGCGCCACAGGCACGGGGCGCCGCGGTTCAGGGGCTGCCGGGAGCCGGGGAGGAGCGGCTCTGCCGCTGCCACCCGCTTAATCGCATGCCAGCCGCCTATCTGGAGCTGCTGTTTCCTTTGCCTCCTGCCTGATTTCAAGTCTAAAAATTAACAGCAGGAGCAGGAGGCAGGATGCTTCCAACTCGCCTCTCTGAGTCACCATTTTGCTTTTTATAGGGAATAAGGAGGTGGGGGCGGGCCAAGAGATGTCACTTCCTGAGCCCATCCTCCTTGGGTACCATTTGTACACTGAGCCCGATGCCTGGGTGGGGGGCAGCGCAGGTTTCGGGGTGGGGATTGAAGAACTGCACCCGAGGGAGCCCTCACCCCTCAGAACAAGGCCTCACGCAGGAAGGAGCCCAAGGCTGGCAGAGCGTGGGCGAGAAGGTGGCGCCGAGGCCTGGCAGGGACACAGCTGAACAGCAGACTCCTCAGAGGCCGGCACTTATTTCTATAATTTCAATGCTGGCTTCCTTCGGAGAAGGAGGGAAGAAAAGGCCACAGGGAAGTTGAACTGCTGTGAGCCCCCTCGGTGCTGCCGGCACCACTCAGGCCCCAGAGCCCATGCACAGACACCCCCTCCTGGGGACAAGCAGGCCAGGCCCGTGGGGGGGGTGTGCAAGGCAGCACCTCAGAAAGGCCCCCAGTCAAGCCCCACCAGTGGGGTCTCTCCTGCAGCTGCGTGAGGGACCCTCCCACTATCTCCCACCCTCCTGGCTGGACCTGTCCCATCGTCTGCTCAGATATCACTTCCTCCAGGATGTCCTCCCTGGCATCCCTGCTCAGAACTCCTACAGTGCAGGGCCTTCCAGTGCCCCTGTTGATCCGGCCCATTCATCCTTGAGCCCCTGGGGGAGGAACTGGGTGTCCCAGTCACCGCGGTATGACCAGGACCCACGGGCCAACATGCAGCAGGACCTTGGGAAACATGTATGGAGTGATTAAATGAATGAGCAGAGGAATGCACTGTCCCTCTCAGGTCTGAGGCTGCAGCCAAGTTCTCTATGGGGCCCTGGCTCCTCCTCCTCTGTCACAACACACGGCAGCCTGAGAATGGTGTCAACGGGTCACCAGGGCGCCTGCCCACGGCTACGCTAGGTCCAATCTGGCCCTTTGGCAGCCGAGAGCTTCCCCCGGCCTCGCTGCACCTGCTCCCGCCGACTTCCTCTCCAGTCCCTGCGCTGACGGCTCACGAAGCTGTCAGGGGACGTGGGCTGTTTTTCCCAAGACAGGCATGCAGGTGAAGAACCACAGAACCTAGTGATCCAGCCGCTGAGATGTGCGTATGCCACACACCGGGATATAGGGCCCGCTGCCCCGGGGGACACAGGGCTCATGTCTGAGGCTGGCAGGGGTTGAGCCGACTCTGCTATTTCCAGGGCAGGAGGGGGGAAGAGGAGCGACAGCTTCCAGTCTTCCTGAGTCTGGCTCTGTGAGGGGCCTGACTGTCCGGTGAGACCTACTCACTTTGCAGAAGCACAAGGAGGGAAGGAGACATCACGTTAACCTCTCCTCCAGGAGGCTCCAGGCTGCCCTATCAGGGCCCGGAGTCAAGGCTAGGGCAGTGAGCTACGGTGGACCCTGGCATGGCCAACAGTTCAGATCCCAGCAGGCCACACTGACTCTCTGGTACACTAAACAATTCCCAGGGCTCACAGGACCAGATCCCTCACTCTCAAGATATTTCTCAAGGGCAGGGGTGGAAGGGACAATAGGTAAGGTGGCGTGGCTCACCTCTACTGCACAGCCGGGGGCTGCCTGGGTCACAGCAGGGCGGGAAGGTCTCTGCCAGCCTCCTCGATGTGTGCACAACTCAGCCTTATCAGAGTGGCAGCCATGGACCCGCATCTCCTGCTCCTCTCAACCTAGTCACGTCTGTGAGGCCGTTCTCACTCTCTCCAATTTACAGACAAGGTCACGGAGTCTCAGAGAGATTTGCACAGAAAGGATCCGAACCCAGGTCTGTCTGTCTGTCTCCAAATGCCATCTTTTCCCTCTGAATCTCACTAACCCTCCAGAGAAATCTCCTTCTACAGTCCTCCTTATCTGGGGAAGCTGACCAAAGAGGGGAGGGAGGGGTGCCTGAGAGTGAGGCGCCAGCCACAGAAAAGGGGGCCCAGGAGTGGAGGAAGGAGCCCACAGAGATCTCTGCAAATGTTCTAGATACTTTCCCTTTCATTCCCCCCACAAAACCCTGACAGCCCAGGACATCGGGCAGAGACCCAGGAGACCCCTACCAGGAAAAGGGATGCAGAAAAAGATGGAGAAACCAACCCTGGGGACTCAGGAGCATGGAAATCCACCAAGCACAGGCTTCAGTTTATGAAAGGCCACAGACAGGAACGACGAGTGGACCATGGCTTGGCCCCCAGGTCTCGAAAGAGAAAAGGCAGGAGAAGCTGCTGACAGCCAATATCCATTTCCCCTTCTACTAACAGAAGTCTCATTATACTTGGAGTGGCAGTGTGCCCAGTGACTAGTTAAAAGACTACTTTTCCTAGTGGAGTGGGCCATGTGATTAAGTTCTGGCCAATGAGATGTTAAGTGGGTAAGTGTGGAACTTTGCGGAAGGCTGCAAAAAGAGATTGTTTCAACTGGAAGGTACACTTTTTTTCCCCTTTCCATGCTTCCTCCTTCTGTTTCCAATTTGGAAAGCAGATGGGATGGCTGGAGCTCCAGCAGCCATGTTGCACCATGTGGTGACTTGGAGGATAGAAGTCAGTGCTGAAGATGGCTGAGCAAAAAAGCTAGGAGCCTGGGTTGGTGATGGCACAATGAGCCAACATACCACCCCAGGACTGTCTACCTCTGGACTTCTTCTACATGAGAGTAAAAAATGCCTATGTTATTTAAGCCACTGTTCGTTTTTATGTTATATGCAGTCAAACCTAATTGTAACTGGTCCAGATGCTTTTCCTTGACATCTTGTCTCGGTGCCTTTCCCACTGCCTTCACTATTCCTTCTAAGTCTCCTTGGGGGAATCCTTTTTTTCTGCCCACCCCTTAAAAATTGATATTCCTTATACATCCTTACAACAGAATACTGCTCAGCAATAAAAAGGGACAAACTACTGATAGACACAACAACAGAAATAACTCTTACAGACATTATGCTGAGTGAAAGAAGCCAGACACAAAAGAGCACATCCTGTATGATTCCACTCATATTAAGTTCTAGAACAGACAAACTAATCGATGATTGGAAAAAAAAAAAAAAAAGAAAAAGAAAATAGTGGTTGCCTCTGGGAGGTGGGGTGGGGACAGGTGTTGATTGTAAGGGGCACAGGGAACTTTCTGGGGCAATGGAAATGGTCTGTATCTTGACAGGGATTTGGGGTACACGGGTGGATGTATTCATCAAAATTCACCAACCAGTACACTTAAGATTTGTGCATTTCACTAACTATTGAACTCTAGTTAACGATACACATGCTGAAGTGTTGAAGCAACCTGTACTGACGTGTGCAACTTACTCTGAAACACACAAAAAACAAAATGGATTGATGACGTGCAGAGGGATGGACAGATGTGCGATAAAGCAAGAAAAACGGTAATTATGGACTCTAGGTGGTGGGTACACAGGTATTCACTGTATACTTTTTTTTTGGTGAGGAAGATTGGCCCTGAGCTAACACTGTTGCTAATTGTCCTCTTTTTGCTTGAGGAAGATTGTCCTTGAGCTAACATCTGTGCCCATCTTCCTCTATTTTGTATGTGGGATGCCAACATAGCACAGCTGACGAGTGGTGTAGGTCCGTGCCTAGGATCCGAACCTGCGAACCCGGGCCGCCAAAGCGGAGCGTGCCAAACTGAATCGCTATGCCACCGGGCCAGTCCCCACTGTATAATTCTTTAAACTTTTAGGTATGTTGGAAATTTTTCATAATAAAATGATGCGAAAAAACTGGTGTTTCCCAGGCTTCTGTCACCCCTATTCTGCTCCCTCTCCCAAATTTTATTTACGCTCCAGGGAGAGGTCTGGGTTGCAGACCCATCTCTGATTGTTTCCTGGACATCACTACCCTCAGGAACCTCAAACCTAACCTTGCCCTGAAGCTAATATGCCAGGTCGCTCAAGTTGGAAACCCAGAAGCCTCCGCAGATTCCTCCTTCTTCCCGCTCCTCATCTCCCACACCCTGCAATGTCCCCACTTCCCCTCCTCCTCCCCACCCTCACCAACTCTTGTGAGGACAATCCCAACACTCTCTCCCCATGACGGCCAGACTGCAAATCTGACCATGTTTCTCCTCTGTTCAAAATTCAACAGTTCCCCATTCACTTCAAGGGCACAGCCTAAATTCCTCAGCTCGAGGCCCTTCATGGACACAATTTTACCTTTACAGGGTCACATTCTGCTGCCCTGTAACATCAGACAGCTTCTAGGTCCCTGTAAGTGGGTTGAAGAGTAGCCTCCAAAAAAATACATCCAAATCCTAACCTCGGTACCTCTGAATGTGACCTTACCAAAGAAAATGTCTTTGCAGATATAATGAAGGACCTCGAGATGAGATTATTCTAGATTAACTGAGTGGGTCCTAAATCTGATGACACGTCCTTACAGGAAACAGAAGGGGAGAAGACACAGCCACAGGGAGAAGACCACGTGCAGATGGAGGCAGAGACTGGAATTACGCTGCCACACGCCAAGGAGTGCCTGCAGCCACCAGAAGCCGGAAGAGGCAAGTCAGAATTCTCCCCTGAGCCTTGGGAAGGAGCACAGCCCTGCCAACACTTTGATTTTGGACTCTGGCCTCCAGATCGTGAGAACATGAATTTCTGTTGTTTTAAG